TTTTTTTTCAATCTACAAGTTATTACTCATGATAATTTTTAACTATTTTTGAAAAGCAGTAGGTTTCTTAATCCAACTTTTTGAAACTGATATTGTGAGAAAATAAAATCTCTTTCTCTAGCAATTTGACACTGATGGGAATAGCACATAGCACAAAATGAATCTGTAAGGTATTTAGGAAAAGTGGACCACAAGAATACATGACAAATATTTGAATTAGTTGAAACTGATGGGATTTTTAAAAAAATTCTTGTTCAAAGGACAAATACTCATTTTCATTTTAAATGACATGCTAACATTTGCATTCCAAGCCCTGAAGCACTTCCCCTTAGCATCACTGAATCCTGTATAAGCAATGCAAAAATTCCCCTTCTTAAGCAATAACATAAATATTGACAATCACCCAGGAGAGAAATTATTTCAGCAAATTGGTGTTGGCTTTCTGAGGGGAATTAATAAATGGTACATCAGATTATTTTTTGTTCAATGGATGGAGATCCTTTGAGATTAAAACCATGTGTTTAAACACTGAATGTTTATGCAAACTATGACACATACTGCATAATAAAGTATATAATCAAATGCGGGAGTTTTATGTGCAGGAGATACATAAAATATGGACATAAACATACAGATTTATCATAGAAGCAAAATACTTCCTTGGAGAGAGGAATTATGTTGATACTTCTCTTTTACTGTACAAATGCTGGCAATATCCCTTGGAGACTTTGTTTTGGAAACAAAAAAGTTGATTCACAGCACAATCCTACACATGTGTCCTCAGAAGAAAATTGCAAAGAATTGGGTGTAGGAGTGTAGCTTCAGACAATTATTTCTAATATGCACTGTTTATGAAAACATCAGCCTTCTCTTTCTCCAACTTGAAAAGGGCTACAATCCTAGCTTACATCATTTTTGTAACATGCAGTTCCTTTGTTTTGTCCTCTGAGGCTTCAATTCACTAAGCAAGTCAGTTATTTGTAGTGTCTCAGAGCTGAATTACTACTAGTTTATGATGATCTAGCTGATCTATGCAAAACTGAGAATATTAAAGTATGTTTGCAACCAAAGCTAATGTAATCATATGTGACAACTGCTGAAGTTGCATTTTTTTTCTTTTTATAATTCATTTGTGCTTCAGCTAAAATGTAATCCTCTTAGGTTAAACAGGTGCTGGTGTGAGTATATGAAAATATGTGTCAAGGTGATTTCATATAGATAACTCTTCCTAAGTAAAGTAAAGGTAAAGGTTTCCCTTGACATTAAGTCTAGTCATGTCCGACTGTGTGGAGTGGTGCTTATCTCCATTTCTAAACCGAAGAGCTGGTGTTGTCCGTAGACACCTCCTAGTTCATGTGGCCAGCATGACTGCATGGGTGCCATTACCTTTGCACAAAAGTGGTACCTATTGATCTACTCACATTTACATGTTTTCAAATTGCTAGGTTGCTTCTGCCAACCTAGCAGTTCAAAAACATGCAAACGTGTGTAGATCAATAGGTACCACTTATGCGTGAAGGTAACACTGCTCCATGCAGTCATGCTGACCACATGACCTTGGAAGTGTCTACGGACAACGGTGGCTCTTCAACTTAGAAATGGAGATGAGCACCAGCCTCCAGTCGGATACGACTGGACTTAATATTGGGACAACCTTTACCTTTACCTTAGGTTGGCCGAAGCTGGGGCTAACAGTGGGAGCTTACTCTGCTCCCCGGATTCAAATCACTGATCTTTTGGTCAGTAAGTTCGGCCGCTCAGTGTTTTAACCCCTGTGCCACTAGGGACCCCTTCCTCTGAGTACTACACCCACATTTTCTACTTTTTCCAACCCCCCCCCCCCCCCCAGTATCACTGGTAATACCCTTCAGTGGTGTAAATGATGTTATCTGATCTAGCATGTTTGGTTTGAATGTTATATTCAAACACATTCCAAGCTTTATGTGGTATGATCTAACCTTTTCTTAAATTACTACACCTGAAAGAACACTATTTTTTACCTCAAAAGTATTTTACTTGATATAGCTTACATCAACTGTTTAACTTATTTTGCTGAAGTGTAATTGTAGTCCTTTACTTTCTCTCACTCATTGTTTGTACTACCCATTAGTTCTATTTCATGTTGAGAAACTTCTGATTAGGAACAATGAGTGGAATATCCTGTTTCACTAAAGAGTTGATTGCAGCACAACAGCCCAGACAGCTAGGGATAAATAAGATTTGTGTGTGTGTGTGTAAGAGAGAATGTGATGTAGAAAATTTTCAGTAGACAAAATACTTTTGTCTCAGGTGGCACAGCTGATTAATAAAAAGGTGTGAAAATGTATTAGTCCAGGTGCTAATAATCTCCAATCAAGTAAAATTTCTCCTTTATATTTGGAATATTCTGTTTGAAGCAAAGTGGTGTCACACTTTGAAAGTTGCTGTAAAGGGAAATGTCCTCAGAATATTTTGAAGCTACGATTTCACAGTGACTTGAATACAGATGGTTCATGCAGAAAGAAGGCAATGTGAGTTGCCTGTTGAGAACTGGCATATTTAGCCTGTGATGTCATAAATAATGTCTTAAATGCAAAAATACATCCATACAAAACTCTGTACCACACCATGTATACAAGAGGTCAAGGAAAATACATTCATAGTAACAAGTCCTATGTAGCCTTATGACACACATATACACACACAAATAATCCAGCCATGGAAAGGACAATGTTATAGCCAGGTTACCGTATTGCTATCAAATATACACACACATAATAGTATAGAATCTGAAAACTAGGGTCAAGAACAGGCATGGGCAAACTTCGGCCCTCCAGGTGTTTTGGACTTCAACTCCCACAATTCCTAGCAGCCTACCTACTGTTAGGAATTGTGGAAGTTGAAGTCCGAAACACCTGGAGGGCCGAAGTTTGCCCATGCCTGGTCAAGAAGGTTAAACTCACCAGCATGAAAGCATGTGTACGCACATGCATCTTTTTACACAGTGTTAAAAATTCTTTTTTGGCCTAGATGACAGTTTTAATCAATGGTTCTTTCCATTGACATTGAGAACAATAGATGTAAAGGACTCATGTGTTTCTAAAACCAAGTTGTGTAGTCTTAACTGAGTTTTTTTGTAACCAGTTGATGATGTGAAATAAGTTGCCACAAATGTGAACGTAGCAGATATTTCTGTAACATCTTTATATTATAATGTATTTCATATAGCGATCCTTGGAAGGGCTATACAGGAACTTCAGAAGGTGCATAGTGCAGTACTGTTTTCTTTGCAGAGGAATGTCAGATTTTTCTGTTTGTTACATCAATAAGGAACATTTTAATAACCCTGTTACATAACAGTTCCTTGTTGTCTTTAAATATAACCTGTAGGAACCTTGAGGGCTAAAAATTAAAATACAATGTGTAGGTAGGTACATATTGATGTGCCAATACACTGTGAGCAAATGCTGGTGAGCAAATTCCAGAGTCCATGCTGCTGCTTTCCTTGTGCTTCTATGTCATGAGGCCACATTTAACTTGTTGCTATCCATTTCTTTTTCTCTGAATTCCTGCATGTGTGGTTTTGTGCAGGGCTTTAAATAGGAGTATCATTAAATAATTAAACATTTGATATAACCAAAGGCGGCTTTTATTTTTGCAACAGTTTGTTATTTATAATTGACCTATATGTTTTCCTACAGAGTTTTGTTGTGGTGGTAAATTTCAAAACACTGTGGGAAAGTATAATGTAGCTCTGTATGCAGTCGCTCCATTTGGTAAGCATATTACACCATCTGCCTAGGCAGCTTAATAGCCTCCAGTCCTGGACTGACCCTGCCCACTCAGGCTGGTGATTTGCTTCTCCTGGCCTGGAAAAAACTATATAAGAGGGCATCCTTCCTTGAGAATGTGGCATGACTGGTCCTTTGTGTTTCTGTATGTTTTTTGTTGTTTTTCATAGGCTCAATTCTCAGTTTTTCCTGGTTTAAAAACACTGATTGAGTGTACCTCATACTACTGGATGTATGTGGCCACCCATCAACTCAGGTTCCCTGTGCAGCTGGCTTACTCATCAGCATGAATGAACATGTTTGTAGTCACCACTGTAAACCGTATAATATTGCTGATCTATTATGAACAAGATCCAGTATCACTAGATTTGAGTATTATGCTAGGAGTCTAGAAGCTCATTCATCCGTGGAAGTCACTTTTTGCAAGTTATATTCTCAGATTTCGAAGGAGGCATTAGCAAAGGCCTCTGAATAAATTTTGTAAAATAGGAAAAAAAGGAAACACAAAATCTATAATAGACACACTATACGTTAGGCGTCAACTTGAAGGCACATTACAAACACAGCTGTGAAAGATGTATTATTAGGGTTTGTACAATATCAGACATATTGAATGTATTGTCTTGACTCAAAACTCGGGAGGATGAAGCATCTTCTAGGATCTTCCAGGTTGAATCTGTCGGTCTATAGCAGATACATGCAGCTATAAAGAGAGTGGTAGCATTTCCCCTTTAAAACACAAAAGCAGTGAAAATCATCTGTCAAAAGACAGAATAATTGTAATTTGGAAAAGCTTTAGAGGTAAAAGGAGCTACTTAAAGATAATTAAAGCTGGATACATAGTTACATATACACACCTTTTAATAGTTTAAATACAGAAACACTCAAGTTTTATTGGGAATAAAGTGCTAATTCCTGTCTGCCTTATTTGGCACAGAATTCGTTTACATCAATCATGCTGTTTGCTTATAAGTTGATAAACTGCTTCCTTATTTTATTGATGTAAACTATACATAACTGTCAATGTAGAAGTATGAACTGACTTGGTATTCTTTAGTTTCATATCCAAGTATTAACCAAGACTGGCCCTGCTTAGTCTCAAAGATCTGATGAGATCTGGTGGCTTTTGATCCCACTGAAATGGATGAAAATATGTCAAGTAATACATAGTAGTGGCCTTAATGCAAGAAATATAATATATTTATTTTCTCTTCTCTATCCTCTAACCAGGTGAAAGCTATGTATGTGCATCCAATGAACCATTTCGGAAAGTTGATTACACCAAGAATGTTAATCCAAATTGGTCTGTCAACATAAAATCTGGATCATCTCGATCTCTTACATCTTTGTCATCATCAAGAAGTGATTTGAAGGAGAGCAAGGACTTCATTAAACCCAAACTGGTAACCGTTATACGAAGTGGAGTGAAACCACGGAAAGCTGTGAGAATTTTGCTGAATAAAAAGACTGCTCATTCCTTTGATCAAGTGTTGACTGATATAACAGAAGCTATTAAGTTAGATTCAGGAATAGTCAAGAGAATTTGTACACTGGATGGAAAGCAGGTAAGAAAAATTAATAGAAATTCTTAATGGTCTTTATTTTCAGGATTTGAGATGCACCAAACCTAAATCATGTATAGACAAAAACTACAACATTAAAATTTTTAATTCCCTCTTGGTGCAGATTTTTTTGCTTAGCAAGTAGGGAGGGAAGTAAAGGCCATTGCAGGTCTGTTGTAATGACGAATGCAAGTTTCTGATCCCTTCTTCCAAAAGCCATTTGGAAATTCATCCTGAATTATCTGGAAGATACCCTCCTTTTTAAAATGAATATCTATATTCTACTAATATCAAGGTTTTACTGGATACAACAATATTGCAATGAAGGCATTACTATTGCCAGCAGAGCACCAAAGTACGGGAGAAAGTAGGCAACATGGGTTTCTGATTAGTTTTATGGTGGCACTCCATGGTCTCAGTGGGGTGGAGGGGACATCCGTCCTCTGCTGTTCAGGTCAATGGTGCCAGCCAGGCTACTAAATTAAACAAACTTTCATATACTTTGTGCACATCAATGGGTAACAGTTAGTGGTTTAATTAAAAAACTTATTTGTTTTCTGAATGACTTATTCTGATCCTTATTTTGCTCTGTCAGATTTTCGCACATAAGCTTATGGCTCTCAGAAATATACACAATACTATGTGTCTCTATGTGACTTCAATTCATCTAATGATGACTTATGACAATCTCATGAATTTGGCAAGGAATTACCTTCCTTTGAAACATGGCCCACAGCATCTGGGATTCTTTGGTGGTCCCCCTTCAAAGGAATAATCAGGACTTACCATACACAATATTAGAGATCCTTACATTTTCCATGGTAATATAAACTAAGCCCTGTTACAAACAAGCAAATGTTTCCTTTCAGGTGATCTAGAGCAAGGGTCCTCAAACTATGGTCCGAGGGCCGGATACGACCCTCCAGGGTCATTTACCCGGCCCTCTCTCAAGGTCAACCTAAGTCTGAAATGACTTGAAAGCACACAACAACAACAATCCTATCTCATCAGCCAAAAACAGGCCCACACTTCCCACTGAAATACTAATAAGCTTATATTTGTTAAAATTGATCTTCATTTTAATTATTGTATTGTTTTAAAGTGTTTTTGCACTACAAATAAGATATGTGCAGTGTGCATAGGAATTCATTTATGTTTTTTTCAACTTATAATCCGGCCCTCCAAGAGTTTGAGGGACTGTGACCTGGCCCTCTGTTTAGAAAGTTTGTGGACCCCTGATCTAGAGCTAACCTTTTCCATCATTTATGGTGTGTCTGTCAAATCATCCTTATAATGCTAATTTTCATTTAATTTTATTGAGCAATGTGATATATCATCTACTTTCTTAACATTTAGATATTTTCTTCCTTTCCTAATGTAATGCCCAAATGAATTTCCATACATTGTGAGTCAATTCTTATTGTAGTTTTACATGAGACTGATGGACAATATAAAGTTGGGCAGACAAGGCCTTTCCAATTACCAACTAGTTGAAACTGTTTTTCTAATAGAGTAAATTGCTTGTGCCTCCAATTTTGCTTATATAGCAGTTTTATAATGTAACTGTACTGTTGACAGAAACTGAAAAGATTTCTGGGCAGGAAAAGCATTTTTTCAAATAATTATGTTTTCCTTTTTTTTTAAAAAATCGAATTAGTTTTCTTTAAAAAGTTATATGTTTTCTTTGACCATGTAACAACTATGAATGTTTAAAAAATATTGGTTTATTTTTGTTTATCATGACATTTCTTGTGAAATATCAACCATTTTCAGTAAATGTAATATAGATTTAAAATGAAGTATCTTAATCTACTGGGTTTTTTTTTTTAAAGTAAAAGGTTGTCTGTGACACTTGCAGTTTGGTGACATCAGGCAGAAATATGTTCTTTTTCTCTAGTTTGGTATAAAGTATTTTCCATTGATTATTTCCATAAAATCAGTTAGTCAGTTAGTGGCAATCCTGTATGTTCTTTTCTAAGAATTATTCAATCAATAAGAGTTGCTTCTGATTAGTCAGGCAGAGGACCCATTGGCATGTGCAACATACCCCAAAATTGGCAAAACGTTGCTTCTGGGTGTCCACGTGATGCACAGGGCCTTATTAAGGCTGCAATCTTGTAGTTAATAGGCAGGCACAAAATTCTTCCCTTGAAAATGATTTGTGTTTATGCATTAAGGTTAAATACTTGAAAATTCTCCAGGGAACTCTGAGCATTTGATTCTAATGGCTCAAGGAAGCCAATGCTAGTCTTTCGCTACCTGCTACCTGGATGGGAAATACCACTTTGGGAAGCGGAAAGCAAATGGTAGAGAGGGTCTAGTGAACATGAGAAAAGTTTGTGGAATCTCTGTTCTAGAAGAAATGTTTCTTCAGTGCTTTTCCCACCATAAATGATAGGTTTGGAATGAAGGCCACATATTTCACTGAAAAAAAATAGATCCTTATAGTGATATTTGATGGCAGATAACAACAATTAAGAGACATTTGGAGAGTCCATTTTCCTATCTGTTTGAACCAACCAACTAATACCTTGGGTAAAGATTTACTTTATACTGTATTGCCCTAATTCTTCTATTATCACATATGGTAATGATAAGGAGCCATACTATATGGTGTTAGTGAATTGTTTTTATCAGCTATTTCTTTATTTGTGATAAAGTTGTCTTAGTTTAATTCTATTTTAATATTTACTTTCTGTATATTTTAATTGTATAGTTTTCACAGGTTGTGAGCCATATTTGGTCTCGGTTCATGAGATAAATGCAGGGCATAAATAAATATGGTATTATAAATAAATAATACGGTATTATAAATATGGTATTAAATATGGTATTATAAATAAATATGGTATTATAATCATTATTATAATCATCATCATCCTCACTGTCATCATTATGCAGATGTTGGAGTGACAGGAAATCATATAATTTTATGCAGATTAAAAGAATCAAGATTAATTCTAACAATACTTAACAGTTAAAAATGTTTCTTTCACTGTTATCTTAAGCATCTGATTTTGAAGAAAGGTGAAAAGTATTTTATTTGGCTTGATTATTGCAAAGCCCTTTCCAGTTAGCTTTTGAACAATCTTTTATTTAATTTGTTTTAGTATGCTTCGATAATAGAAAATGGAATAAATTGCAGATGGGTAGGATGTTGTGATGACTTACCATCTGCTACTCTAGGGTGAAATCATAAGGTTTTGAATCTAGATTTTGAATATCTGTTGCCTCCCACTGAGTTGGACAATTTGCAGACAATTAGCTGGGAAAATGTTTCCATTGTTTTTCCCTTGCAGCTGGCCTATGCCTATTCAAGATCTGCATAATCAGTTTATTTCCATTGGCTTTATTCAGTTTTTGTGTGCTACCCTGTTTTTAAGGTAATGTTGCCTTTTTGTCTTCAGATAGGGCTGAGATTTTAAAGAACAGCTGCTAAATGTGACTTTTTGGGGCGCTTTATGAAGTCATTGGAAGAAGTTGTATTTTGTAAGATAATTAAATTTCTTGAAGTTGGCTTTTGATTTTCCAAGCCTGACAAAATGAATACATTAAAGTATAGTTTTAAAAAATACTACACAAACTTAATGTAAGTCTCAGTTTAATTGATGTGTGTGTGTGTGTGTATGCATGTATGTGTGTGTGTGTGTGTGTATATGAGAGAGAGAGAGAGAGAGAGAGAGAGAGAGAATAGAAACAACAGCTGCAGTAGGGTTCCATAGTCTGAGTAGAAAACACAGGTGTTTATATTAGATGTGAAGTTTAGGGAGCACCAGTTTTTTTTTTTTTTAAAAAAAATCTAAACTCTGTTGACATGTGCAAATTAATACATGTTTCATCAGTGCAACAAATTATCTTTGCTTCTAAAAAGGATTTGCTTGGTTTTTAACTTGCATTTTTGGCTATTTCTCGTACACTTTAACTTTCATTGTAGTGCTCCATGATGCAAAACATGGTGTGTTTCTCTTTTAATGAATCCAGCCTTTGTATTGTGTTCAAACGCTGTAATTCCTTTTGCTTTATTTTGTTGGCATGAGCATACATTTGTCACTACAATAACATGATTTCCCTACTCATGTGAAGTTGTGTTCTCTTTCAGAAAGTGATCTTAATTTATTTGGAGTAATAATCAATGCCATATGATATTGTACTTAAATCCATGTAATTTTTGAAAGAAAAGATACCAGAAAGCTTTTTCTACTACATCATGCTAGTTGTTCCAACAATAAGTGTTAAATGGGGAAAATATGTTTCACTGTTGTTCTTATGGTTCACTATAGAATCTAAGGAAAGGACTACAAGGGCTGTCTGGTCCAATTCCCTACCATGCAAGAATGCATATCTAAAACACTTCTGAAAAATGCCCATCCAACTTTGCTCTGAGGTAGTCCATTCCATGGTTGAACCACTCTAACAATAAAGTTCTTCTTAAAATGTAGGAAGAATCTATTAGTTTGCATTCTAATCTCTGGAGCAGCAGAAAACAAATTTGTGCCATGTGACTACATATTTTAATGGTTTTTATATATGTTTTTATATTGTTATGTTGACTGTTTTTAATCTCACTTTTATGAATGCATGGCATTGAATTGTGCCAATCTGTAACCCACCTTGAGTCATCATATGGTTGAGAAAGGTAGGCTATAAATGTCGTAAATAAATAAATAAATAAATGTTCTAATGAGATCCCATCTATTGTCAAAGGCTTTCATGGTCGGAATCATGCAGTTGTGCCAACATTGTTTTGGGGAGGTTCTAGTTATGTGAGCTAACTGCACGGGAGAATTCCTATGCATGTTATTTAGATTATCAATGCAGGTAATCTGGATTTTACATGGCAGTATAGCGGGAGCCTTGGAGGCCTTCCACAAGGCAGAAAATCCCACAATATCTGCTTTGAACTGGGATATCTAAGTTCACACTATGTTGTCAAAGGCTTTCATGGTTGGAATCACTGGGTTGTTGTGAGTTTACCAGGCTGTATGGCCATGTTCCAGAACCAT